TACTTGTTATTTCATTAGGTTATGGGCCCCGGACCTACCTACCTGTGAAAACCTCGGATACAACACACCACTCACGCATATTCCCCATCGGAAACCATCCATATCTCGCATACCATTTCCACACACGCCTAAGCGCTCGTTCATCCACTTTCAGCTCTCGGATCACCTTATCCCCACAATCACCACCAAACGTTCCCACCGATGTCAACGTCATCTTCCACCAGCATCAAGAAGCTTACCCACAGGAATTTCCATGCTTGGGAACCTCTCGTGACGGCAGAGCTCCAACGCTTGGGAGTTTGGCGCATGTGCACCGGCGACGAGGCCGAATCGCTTGTGAAACCCACGCCAATGTCCCTTCCTGAAACGGCGACCGTTTCCAAGAGGATTTCGGCTCAACGGAACCACGCGGACGCCTTACAAGCTTACAAAGCTGCCTGCCGTCGCAATGACCAGGCCATTGGCATGATCAAGACCCATATCGAGCCATCGCAGTTTGAGGGGATTGACAAGCTTGGGACGGCGAAGGAGGTTTGGGAGAAGCTGGTTCTTCGGCACAAGGACACTCATACAGGCTTGAGTGCGTTCTATACCAAGGTTGGGATATTGGAGAAGAAGTATGCTGACGGTGAGGACATGCATGCCCATCTCAACTTCCTCACCATGGAGAATCGGAAGCTCGACAAGAAGGCATTTGACGACGAGTTCCTCGCTCAAATCATGCTCATGTCCCTTCCCCGAGACTCCACCTGGGAGACGGTTGTCGTCCTCCTCCTCCAATCTGCTTCCGACACCACTCCACTCTCCACCACCGTCGTCTCCACCAAGCTCATGCAGGAGTATCGTCGTATCACTGGTGGTGAACAGGCTGACTCTGTGCTTGCTGCTCGCCAGGCCAAGGCGTCTTCCTCGAAGGCGAAGTCCAAGAAGCAGTGTGGCTATTGCAAGTTCCTTGGTCATGGTGAGTTGGATTGCCATAAGAAGAAGCGGGATTTGGAGAATGGGACTACTGAGGGGAAGGACTCTGGGAAGAAGGATCGTCAGAAGAAGTTGTCCACCGCTAACATCGCACAAGTCACCGCCACCTCTGAACCAGAGCAAGCTGCAGTGAACATCGCCAGCGTCTATGCAGAGTTCCCTTCTGACGATAACGATGATGACGTTCATGTCTTCATCGCCACCGAAGTTGTCGCTCTCCTCTCCCACCAGTCTCACCTTGAAACCTACATCGATTCTGGCTGTTCCCGCCATCTCACCCCTCATCGTGAACTTTTCATCGATAACACCTTCACCAAGCTCGAGAAACCCATTAAGGTTCATCTTGGGGACACTTCGGTCATACCAGCTGTTGGTCGAGGGACTATTCGTTATCTGATGGAAACCCCTTTGGGAGTTGTTCCTGCCCTCATACCCAACGCTTTATGGGTACCTGAGCTTGCAGCCTCCCTCCTCTCTGTCGCTCGCTTCACTGATCACGGCAAACACGACATCCTCTTTGACAATGACGACTGCTTCATTCGCTCGAAGCCTTCTGGCAAATGTGTTGCATCAGCGCATAAAACCAGTGGGAGCCTCTATCGCCTCATCGCGTGTCCTATGACATCCAAGGAGTATGCAAATGCTGCTATCACCTCTCGTCACCTCGATATTAACCTCCTTCATCGTCGCCTAGGTCATGTCGGTTATGACAATGTCAAACGACTAGTTGACAAGGGCATGGTGGATGGTGTTACATCAGTGGGAGGTCGTATAGAATTTTGTGAAGCTTGTGTACATGGCAAACAACATAGACTCCCCTTTCCTCCTTCCAAAAAGCGCGCTAGACGAAAATTGGATCTCATCCATTCAGACGTCTGTGGTCCTTTTCCCAACAGCATTGGGGGCAAGCGCTACTTTGTCACCTTCATCGATGATTGCACCTACAAAGGTTGGATCTACTTCATGGCTAAGAAGTCGGAGGTGTACACCATGTTTCGAAAGTTCAAGTTGCTTGTTGAGACTGCAACTGGCCAGAAGATCAAGGTATTTCGTTCAGACGGTGGCGGCGAGTTCACCTCATTTGAGTTCGAAGGCTATCTGGAGTCCTGCAGGTGGCATCTTTCATGAGAAAACCACTCCTTATACCCCAGAGCAGAACGGTGTTGCTGAAATCATGAACCGCACTATTGTTGAACGTGGTCGATGCATGCTTTTTGAGGGTAACCTCTCATCTGGATTCTGGACCTATGCTTTTGAATGTTCCATGTACCTCAGTAATCGCTCCCCAGTCTCACGTCTCCCAGACTCTACTCCTGAAGAGGCCTGGTCTGAGACCAAACCTGTCATCACCTCCTTTTGACCTTTCGGCTGTCCTGCTTATGCTCACATTCCTAAAGCCAAGCACACCAAACTTGCCTGGAAAACAAGGAAATGCATCATGGTCAGCTATGAAGTTGGTACTAAGGCCTATCGGCTCTGGGATCTGAAGACACAATCCATCGTCATCTCTCGGGACGTCATTTTTGATGAGCGCATCAATCCTCCTGCAGTCCCAGCACCACCAGTTGATTTATCCGAGATTGTCTGGGATGGTGAACTGACTGGAGATGTCCAAGGCTTGACTCGAGTGGGAGATGCATGGGACAAAGCTGATGTGGAGTCTCCTCCTTCAGCACCTGTCACCAACGCTCAACCCATTGAACACCTCATCGATGAGGAAGAGAATCAACCTCAGGACCTAGATCCACTTCCAAATCCTCTCCCTGTTGAACCACCACATCAGGAACATCCTCTTCCTCTTCCTGATCTTCCTGCTCAACCTCGTCGATGTCGAACTGAACTCGAGCTACTTGGGGATCCACTGATAATTGAGGGACCACGACCACGTCGTCTTCCTGAGAGATATCATGCTGATTCTCCCCCTCCTGAAGCAGAGGTTCCTTTAGACAATGGTGACGCAGATGATGATGCATTTGCTCAAATCGCTTTTGTATTTGCCGCTTCAGCCACATCCACTGGTTACACTGATCCCATGATGCTTACTGAAGCCATGGGCAGTCCCGATGCAGATTCGTGGCAACAAGCCATTGATGAGGAGGTTAAATCCCTCCAAGCTATGGGCACATTTGTCATTGTTGAGAAACTACCTCCTGGACGAAAGGCTGTGAGTTCCAAACTCGTATTTCGAGTCAAACGGGATAACATTGGCGCCATCGAACGCTTCAAAGCACGCATGGTTGCGAAAGGCTACTCTCAGATCCCCAGGATGGATTTCAATGAGACTTTTGCACCTGTGGTAAAGCTCACTTCGATCCATGTTTTGTGCGCCCTAGCAGTCACCCTCAAACTTCACTTCCATCACCTTGATGTTGACACAGCATTCCTCAATGGTATTCTCAAAGAAGAGATCTACATGCGCCTTCCTCAAGGTGTTGGTCCTCTCTCTGGGAAAATCGCTTGGCTACTTCGTTCGATCTATGGATTGAAGCAAGCCTCTCGAGTTTGGAACGAACTCCTTGACCATGAGCTCGCAAAGCTCAATTTTTGTTGAATCAATGCCGATTACTGCATCTACATTCTTCAAGAAGGGGACTTCATTGTATTCCTCGCTGTCTATGTTGATGACATGGGATTACTCTGTAATGACCTAGACTTCATGCAGAAGATCAAGGATCGCATCAGCAAGATCTTCAAAATCAAGGATCTTGGTTCTATCAGCCAACTCCTTGGTGTTGCGATTGATTATGATCATGAAGCTGGCATCCTTCAACTTTCCCAATCACGCTACATCCAACAGTCCCTTGAGCGCTATGGTTTCAATGATGGTCGAACTCATCCCACACCCCTCAGCTCTGGAGCCAAGATTAGCAAATCTGACTGCCCCTCGACTCCCTCCGAAGTCGAATTCATGCAGAACTTTCCTTATCAAAGCCTACTCGATACCCTCATGTACAGCATGCTAGGAACTCGTGGAGACATTGCTTTTGCAGTGGGAGCACTCAGCAAAGTTGCTTCCAACCCAGGTAAAACTCATTGGGATGAAGCTGTTCATGTTCTTCACTATCTTGGAGGGACTCATGACTACTGCCTTGTCTTCGATCGCAAGAAGGCTGGTGAGATGACTTCATTCATCCTGGGATATTCCAACTCTGATTGGGCTGGCGATCTCGATACTCGACGATCCACTGGAGGATTTGTCTTTCTTGCATGTGGTGCAGCTATCTGCTGGAGCAGCAAACTCCAGAACACACCTGCACTCTCATCTACTGAGGCAGAGTATATGGCATTCACACGTGCTTCTCAGGAAGTGATCTGGCTTCATCAGCTCCTCGAGCAACTTGGCTTCAAGCAGGACAAGCCCACTTTGCTCCTAGGTGATAACCAAGGAGCTATTGCACTCTCAAAGAATCCCAGCAATCATCCTCACACCAAACACATTCAACTTCGCTATCACTTCATTCACTTTGCTGTCGAAGATGGTCAAATTCTTCTTGATTATGTTCCAACTAAGGATATGGTTGCAGATGGATTAACGAAGGGTCTTACTGGAGAGAAACACATGCAGTTCGTTTCCATGCTCGGTTTGAAACCACGAATGAGTGGGAGTGTTAGAAATTGACATCTAGATACATTCTCGTTTAAACGCGTCTCGGACTTTTCTACTTACATGTCACACCCGTCACGCTCAGTGGTTGTTCTTCTACACAACGCTGAGCTTGTACGTCATTTCGTTCTCTTTCTTTCTTATTAATACTCACTGGTACCTAGACTTGTTATTTCATTAGGTACTAAATACAGTGGTTGTTCTTCTACACAACGCTGAGCTTACTTGTTATTTCATTAACATTTCTGGTCACAATATTGAAGGTGAAAGATTTTTGCCCAATACAATAATATATTTTCCTCCAGAGGCAAAAAAATAAAGGGCCAAAGAACCTATTAGCCTGGATATATACATATGTTTCAAGGCTAATAACTTGTTCAAGGTGGGTGACTGAAGTGTAAACACACTGACTGCAAAGATGGAAATTGGAAGCCCCATGGCTTCTCTCTATCTTCTTGGAAATCCTGACCATTATACCAGCCACAAATTCACTCTTTTCTATTGGAAAATTTATGTAAGGGAGGCATGGAATGCATGGTTAGATACAGAAAATAATACAACAGAGTCATTTAACACTGAACATAAAGATGCACCAGACAAAGCCATTTTGCAGAAGTATGATGGCACATACATAGGAATATCAAGTGTATATGATTATATCTATCGCCCAACTGCTTATGAGCACATGTCTCTATATGACTGGATACATAAAGCCAAAAAAGAGAAGTGTTCAAAAGAAGAACAGCAATAATTTGATGTTCATTATGATAAGGATGAACTTGAATCTAATGCAGAAGATGATGGCACAGACACAGAAGGAGAAGATGAAATTAATTTTCTTGGTGGAGGAGACAGTATAGCTGATGACATCGAAGATGAAGTTGGAGATCAAGATCTCGACCCTGAGGATGAACTAAATGATTACCAAATTATATATGATGAATATGAAAGCCATGAATTCCTTTCAGAGCATCCTCAGTATTGTACTCATAAGGTTACAGTTGTTGATGAGGAAAATGCTCTTGTTCCAAATTTTGTTGGAGGTAGATTACCATGATGTGACCAAGGAGATTGAGAATATTATTGCTCTACAATGCTCACACTTTTCAAACCTTGGCAATGTGGAAAGTATCTTAAATTAGAAAATGAGTCATGGGATGAAGCATTTGTTGGACTTGTGTAAGAGGCCATTGCAAACATGGCAGGAACGAGTCCTCTTTTGCAAGGGTGATAGTAACCCATTTCTGCTTTTTCTGAATTTCTGGATATATTTTTATTACACACTAGTCTGTTTCCCTATTTGAGTGTCACACTGAACTCTAAGCAGAGTTTTCAGCATCATCACCAATTCATCAATAGGAAACAATTCTATATTTTTCTCATTTTTTGCTCATTTTCTGGTTATATGCAGGTAGATAAACATATTTGGAAGTCCATCCTAGATCCTGAAACTTTTATCCAACATCATCACTTGTAATCACTACCATCCCTCAATTTTCTCTGATTTTTCTGCTATTTTATAACTATTTTTGGATAGATTACCATATTTGGATATG